AAAAAACACAAACACACCTGCAATATCTCCAACTACAAGGCTAAAATTGAAAGCCTGCTTTATTTAATCTATACAAAAATCATCCAGTTAGTAGCATTAATAGGGGAAAACAAAATCTCCACAGCCTAAAACACTCTGGTATGTACTAGTACTATACTAGTATATACTGTACTAGTACTAATAGAATTATATATACATAAAATGTATTATATATAATTAAAATTGTTTGGGGGCTTATGTAATTATGTATTTAATATATATTGGTTTATACTTAAATATTTATTGTTACATATTATATATAATATAGCATTGAAACCATACAGAAAAAGAAACTAGCCTTAAAAATCTGAAAATCCATCTTGGGAAAACACCTTGTTCTCTGCTATTGAACCTCTGCATCACATTTCAAAAGCTTGTGGTGGAGAGAAAAGGTGCTAAACACAGATCACTATGGCTGTCTAGTAGAATTAAGACAGGGTCATCCATTTGCTCTTACTACAGTTCAGATTTTCAGTCCGTTAATTAATCAAGTCCGTTTTCTTTCCAACATGCAAGAAAAAATTCCCACAGATGTAGTACCATCTTTGTTTTCCGATTCCTGCAAAGTGAACTGATTACTTGCTACCTGGAATGGAGGATACCAGAACGGCAGTCAGTAAAGCAGTATGTTCAATTGAATACTGCAGCTATTTGGCTTCCTAAAGTACCCACTCCGCAAAGACTTTCTGGAGAAGGAGCGGCTGCTAGAAAATAAACCTGCATCAGAATTAGGGATCGGCTAGTGTAAAGCTTCCCAGGCATTACACACTGATACCACCTCGGATTTGTTCCAGAAGGTATCCTGTCTTCTTTTCCTCCTCCTCTCTCTGTTGATTAATCAAGAGACTTCAGGCTGACCTCAGTCACCAACCACCAACTTCTGTTTAACATGCAGAAAGTATGTGACATCAGGAAAAAAGAGAGAAAACAAACTTTGAAGGAGTCCCACTTTCCACTCTGGCCTGCCAGCATTAGGCAGACATCTGACCTTAGGGAAGGCTCCTTTCTTAAACAGTACCAGCATCACAGTATTTGATCTCACCTTTCTCCTCTGCTTCCCCCACTACTTGGCCAGGAAGCACCCCCCTTCTCTTTTGCCTTTCCCACCCAGATGAAAATCACTCCCCAGAAGCCCAGATACAGAAAGAACTGGCAACTTGGGAAGGCAAAAAGAGAACCACAGGAAAACACCCTTATATTTTACAGATTGTAAGGTGTTTAAGGTAAAGCTCGTCTCTCCTCTGGAGACTGCGGCAGTGTTACAACAGGAACAAGCTATTAAGATAAGGCATTCCTTAACTGACCAGCTGTCTTCCTTCTTCATAAAGGTGCCTAAAAGAAAAAAGAAGGATTTCCTTTGTGAATCCACTGGACTTCTTGAAATTATCAACACAAGTTTTATTGGAAAGTGAGGTATGCCAGAGTACTTCTTCAGTATCCTTTGGTATTTTAGTATTTGCTTGAAACATGTATTTAAGAGAATATTTTATAATAAACAGTTATTTACAAGGTCTTTAAATTGGTGACTAGGTGCTCTCAGTCAGACTTCTGATTACCTCCACCTTGTTTCTTCTGGAAGTAAGACATGAAAAATGTATCAATTGAGAAATTTGCCTTTTGTCAAGATTTGCTGACACACAATTGGCAATGGTGCACTGCAAGGCATTCAGGGTTACTCCAGATAACAGTCAAACACAACCAAACTCAGGGTCTTTATTGAACCAAGAATCCAGAACACAGCACCTGTATTTAAATAACATCAAGAATAACCCACACAAAGTAGTCAAAATATCGGTCTTATACAACCAGTTAATCCTGCTGGGAGCGTTCAGCAGCTGCATTCTTCAGATTCAATCACTCTGAAAAATTAGGTCTTGACAACTGAGGGAACTGTGGATTCTGCTTTCCAGCCCCGGACGCCTGGCTGGCAGAAGGCACAGGGAGGAATGGAAGCAGGCCAGTTCCAGCAAGATCTCCACTGTCTGAACACCAAAGGACCTCTTGTGCCCAGGGAGCAGAACTGCACAGAGTACTTACCCGCAGAGTGAAAGATCAACCCACTGCCTGCACAAACCGCTCGATTCCATTGCTACACCCGGTTCCTGCACAACCCCATAGGAGTATTCCTGGAAAAATCACCTACACGTTAAGCTAGTAGGAACACCTACGACGTATTGCTTGTCTGCATATCGTGAGGGACAAATAAAGGGCTTTATTTATTTATTCAAAAGGTTTAGAAAAAGCAGTCCGAGCCACCTTCTCCCCCTTCCTTGCTCTACACGCCGTACATCCAAGTCGGACATCATGAAGAAAGCTTCCATACGTGAGAAGGAGAGGAAGGGGAAGAGCAAGGCTTCTTTGAGGCATTGCTGAGCTCTACTTGCAGAGCTGAAGCAGCTCATTAGACTCCAAGAACAGCCCAAATAAACTAAAACTACACTTTTGAGTTTATACTCCTAAATAAAAGAGTTCTTAGGCTTCTGAAGCAGAGGTGGTACTAATATTTTTTTCTACTGTACATGTGGAAGTCTCCGAGCCGCTGGAAAGCTCAGGCCAACCACCTTCCCCCCCTGCATTCCATTTTCAATCTTACTGACGATGGAACATACAGTAGAAGTCATTAAGCTACATTTCACAGTTTATGGTTTTAATGGTTTTGCAACATTAGATGCACAACACATTTTCAAGCATCAAAAACTAGGCTTTGCTATCTAACATTTCATAAAGATAATAAAAGTTAACGAGCGCTCATGATCTATGATCTGACAAGACATCTGTTCTGTTCTTTCCGAGATAAAACACTCACCCTGCCTTGTTCTGGCACAGTGGGAGAGAACAAACATAAACCAATTAATCATTCTAAACTATAAGCGATATTAAGTTATAGTTTCTCAACAGGCTTTTCATACCCCATTGCTAATAGGGCACAGGTGTCCTAAAAACAGTCTTTCAATGCAAAATCCTGCTAACACCCCATGGTCAGCTGCAGCAGACAGCACCGCTTCGTGCTTCAGCAGCAAAAAAACCCGCTCAAAACAAGCAGTAACAAGGTTGCCGTGGCACCAAGAGCCCAGTATAGAGAGCCCTATTCCCATTTCCTACGTATTTTCATCATACTTTTTTATTACACAAATATTTAAAAATAATTTCATTCTGACCTATCGTGGGGGTATTTAGTACAAATATTACAAGATACCCCCTATGGGACAGGTCTGACATCGGCATGGGGGAGGAAGGAGTCATCTGCTTTACCACTTGCGAGGCTGCAACAGGGAGATCTGCCACCAGAAACATGAAGACTCTGCACTCCGTTACATCTCAAAACCAGTTGACGAGCATTTTAGGAATACTGCTGGAGACCAAATTCAGCTTGTTGATACTGATGTATAATATAGACGTAGAAGTGCAACAACAGGAAAAATAGCTGATACTCTTTTCCCTTCATTCAGCCTTACAGTATGACATGATTTGGACACCACCCAGGAGTACACAAGGTTTCAACTTCCTGCAAACTGCTGTACAATACCATAAAATGGAACATGTGAAATGAAAAAAAGAAAAAAATTACAGATTGCATAGTAGTTAATGAGCAACAGTATTTGCAGTAAGACCCTCGGATGAAGACAAAAATCCCAGTTGAGATAAAGAAAACAAACTCATATTTCCTGACAAATACCTTGTATTGCTCAAAACACCATCCTGCTACCCATCTACCTTCAAGAGGCACATAGAAAAATAAGCCTTTACAGCCAGGGAGCCAAGCATTGTCCAACTGTGCAGAAAAGTAAAGTATTTTTGCTAACTGAAGGATCCAAGATAACTGGGATTTAGTGCTAAAACCCCACAGCCTCCAACACCTCACCTATCTAAACAGCTTAAGCTTCCTCGAGCATGCCGGAGGGGAAGCGCGTCTGTCGGCCGACTGAAGCAACAGCCTAACCAGGTTCCGCCGTATTGCCCTGCTGGAAGAGTCTGCTCTCCCTGCCCACTGAAACCAGCGTTCTCCTTCAGCTGCAGCCACAAACACTGCGTTAGGATTTACACCAACAAATGCGCACACGTGCGCCAACAGAATCAGGAAGGAAATGAAGCTAGCAAGTCTATGGATAATGCTTACCCCAAAGGAGAACTGCTGTGGCACCATCTGAATCATCCCCAGATTTCTCTCACACCCCCAGAGGTTATGTCTGGTTTAGATTAAAATAAATAAAATCTGAAAAAAACAGCACCAAGTAAGCAGCCCAGACAGATCACCTGGTGAACCCCGGCTACACATGTATTAGCACCCAGTGTAGGAAAACATCAACAGATCAAACCATTTGTGCTGAGCACCTGAGCCTTAAAATACACATTTGGGGGGGTGTGCTGTGCCTGAACTCATTTACTAACTCTTCAGATAATTTAGGTCTTGCAGATATCATTAGATGTCCCTCCATTAGCATTTGGTACATTTCTGGATCACATTTTTCTGTTCAGTTTCACCTGGCAAGAATCCAGCTTGCACTCTCTGAAGCAGGGATGACAAATTAAAAAAAAAAAAAAAAACCTACCACCCCAAAACAACACCCACGACCCAAACCAAACTCCCAGCCTGAACCAAAACAATACTGCACACCTACCCGAGGGTCCCTAAGAAAGCAGCTATGCAAATGCATCATATACCCCAACATGCACAGCTACTTAGCAAAAACACGTGCTGCTGAGTCACTGCTGTGTATTTTTACATCCGAGTAACACATTCTAGTTTTCTATAAATGTTGACATGAGATTCTAATTATTATAGTCTTGTCAGTTAAACTCCATAAGCTCAAGTTCCTTCCTTGTGCATTTCCTTCTGTCCACTTTGACAATACCTTCTCAAATGCTGTTTCCATGACAATTTAAGTTATAAGAAGAAGAATAAAATCCTGGGAGAAAAAGAATAAAGCCCCTGAAGACACATGAACTCGTCACATTAAGAGTCTGGTAAAAATATTAAAATTTAATAATACCCTTTGAACATAAAATTATGTCAAGGAAAGAGTAAAGGCATTCAAACAATGGATACAGATCTTAAATAATATTTACAATTTCTAAACTGCAAGTTGAATATAAAGTCACAAATACTTTAAATATGTAGTAGAATATAGTGTAAATTCTAATATAGATATTAACTTGATCTGTTATTTTTTCCAGTGATAACAGTCTAACCTTTACATACTATATACATTAAAATACTAAAAAGTTATAAAACGTTATTATGCAAAGAGATGGAAAATACATCAGCTCTGTCTTACTGTACAATATCCCAATTGAACTTTCCATAGCGTTCTCTGCAAAAATAAACGGCACTTTCACATGCAACAAGGCATAAAGTACAGGTCTGTCCGTCAGCAGGATGCCATCGGAGCACAAAGTAAACTGAACCGCAACCATCATTCAGCCATATGGTTGAAAATCAAAAGTAAACTGTGGGAAGAGAAATATTCTGACAAACGTTCTGATTCAGGCCGAAGTAATAATGAAAACCATGTAAACTGACTTCTATACAGATCTGTCATTTTAAAAAATTAAAATCCAGCATAGGGAGAAGTTTGTCTTTTGTGACACTACCGACGTTACTCTGACTACACGTGATGGAGGAAAAGCTGGTGATCCTGTAGGAATTCTGAAGCCCAGCCCTGCCAATAGGCTGCAGCATCTAAGCTGCTTTTCTACTGACGGTTTCCAGAATTACTTCTGCCACTCGGAAGCGCGCACCAGCAGTCAGATGGGTTTTTCCAGACGTCGTTACGCCATTGTGTAACCATAGCTTCCACAGTGCAATGCCACGAGAAGCCTGTCCTTCAGGACTTCTTTACTTGGGTATTCGGGTAACTTGAGCATGTTGATGCTGCAAAGAAAAAAGAAGCCACATGACAGTTCAGCAAGAAACCCAACAGTGAAGATTTCTGATTGAAAACCCTGATGTTGTCACACTTATGGAAGAAAACAACACTGTGCTGCAATACAGTATCATTAAGCATTCAAATATATTGCAGAAAATGAAGGGTTTTTTTCACTTCAGTAAACTGTAACACAGTAATTTAACTTGAATATGCCCTTATTAATCCTACTGACTTTAGTGAAGGAAAATGAAGTAGCAAACAATGAGCGAACATAATGTCACATCACCTGGGTTAAAACCCACCGATTTATGTGGGATAGTGAATCCTCCACAAATGGTCTAAGGTTCCTTTTGGCCTTTTAAAGACGAATAATCAAAAGAACTATACTTTTGACTGCGAGTGACATGAAAAAGCCCATTTTTAAGATGTTTCAGTATGACTGGTTAACATACCATGTACTTGATGTTGGTAAAAGATTTGCAGTATACGGCACAGCAGCAATTGTAAAATTTTGCAATCCACTGCCACCCATTATGTGGGCAAAGCCACCGTGAGGCACCCTGGAACTGAGACAATTCACATAAATTAACCATTACAAGCATGTTGTAAGCCAAAAGAAAAAAAAAAAAAACCACTTTACACTGCAAATATCTCTCACTACTAGTAATTAGACAGTTACTAATACTTTTTTTATCAAGGTTCCCCCTTTCTTATCCATATCAAAATTCTCACTGTCTAAATGATTTTAATTACAATATTGAATAATGCATTTATCTATTTACATTATGCATCAAATTGTTTCAATGATATTTAAGAGAAGTCTGTTTGCCAAGAGGACTCATTTCTACTAACCAGTTCTTATGAAAGAACATTATCTCAGTTTAGGTAAACATCTACGGTTATTTATATTTACAGTTTAAGAAATACTGCATCGTGAAAAAGGTTATTCTCCGATTACTATCCACGGGACAACTGACCAAAGTGCCCTTGACGTGCCTTTTCATTTTCTACTTCAGACCAAATATTTCAAGTAACTAATAAAACCATTACATCAGTCACGTTATCACCCAGTGACAACCTATGGCAAAAACCAGAACATGTTAAAAAAAAAATATAATCACTAGCATCTTCGGGAATGTATTCTCACTTACTGATAGTACGCAATTTTTTTCCTTTACCAATCTATTATTCAGTGATGATTCAAGGAGTACATGGACAACAGCCCTGGACTCTGAAGAGTCCCTTCCTATCATTTTAAACTAACAGAGACAAATTAATAAAATATTTTTATAACATCAACTTAAGTTGGTATGCGTCACAATGTCACATGTTAGCACGGCCTTCACATCAATCAAAAAAAGAGAGGTCAAAAAACTCTAATGAATGGATAAGGACTCAAGAAGTTGAACGAATGTCTCCAGCAGGTCGAGGGGGATGATCCTTTCTCACAGAGTACAGGGTAAGAGCTGGAGCTCAAGGCCCAGCACTACAGGGGGGAGAGGGACATACTGCAGCAAGTTGAGCAAAGGGCCACAAAGGGATTGGAGCACCCAACACAGGAGGAGAGCAGGCTGGGACTATTCAGCCTGAAGAGGAGAAGGCTCAAGGGAATCTGATCCATGTACATAAATACCTGAATGGAGGAATAAGTAAGATGGAGCACACAGTGGCGGGGCAAGAGGCAATGGGCACAAACTGAAATCCAGGAAATTTCCATTTAAACAGGAGAAAAGCTTTTTTACTGTGAGGTGGTCAAACACTGGAACAAGTTGCCCAGAGGAGCTGAGGAGTCAGCACCCCTGGAGAGAGTTAAAACCTGTCTGGACAAGACCCTGAGAATCTAGCTCTAGCTGACCCTGCTCTGAGCACGGGGTTGGACTAGGCAGTCTCCAGACGTCCCTTCCAACCTCAGCTATTCTGCGATTTTGCAGCTAGCAAAGAAAGAATCCGATAAAACAAAATAAACCTTCCACAAAATATGTAACAGCTGTTAGAATTCTGGATTGCAGGTACTTACATTAAAAACAATGCTCCCACATTCACAAAAATCATAGTGACTGTAAAAACCAGGAGCAACAATGGAAAAGAGGAACGAAGTAATGTTTCCATTCACAGTAAAACTCCTTGGCAAAAACGCAAACTGCCGAACGTTAAGGAGCTAGGACAGAGCTCGCAGTAATACTTTTTAAACACACCTTTAAGAGGTAGCTGTCGAATGCCACACATAAACCTGTATCACTTAGCTTAATGACCGCTATGTCAGGCAGGTAGCTCTAGCACTGGTGTAAGGCAACCACTACGGAGGGAAGAACCCATCATTTGCAGCACACTATGTCTGACACATAAATGGGATTGTGCTCACAGCCACAGCTCAGAACAGTTGTAAAGGTTTTACAGGGGTACTCTCTTATACCATGGTTTTGGTTCACATTTCTAACACAGTGCTGTGTTCCCTGCAGGGAATTTTCCCCCCACTCCAATAAACCAAGGTAATTCCACGTTCAAATCAGCATTAAAATACAGGCCTAACTGTTAAAAATTCGTCATTCGATCCACCATCAGCTAAAGGTTTTTACAATGTAACTTAAAGTGGTTTTCATACAACACGTCAAAATCGTATAGTATGATCAGGACTTTAATAATTTCAAAGGAACAGATGGCTGCCAACTTATGCCTCCAAGAATGAGTTTTCTTTCCAAGCAGAACACCGCCAATATAGCAGAGAGCCTTCCAAATATATGCCAACAAGACCACAATATCTTACCTCTCCTACTGCATGTACAAATAGCCTTCAGCAAGAACAGCAATACAGTTTCATAGCTTTGGAAACTTCAGCTCTATTAAAATGTTAAAATTTACATCTGAATCCTAACTCTTCTATTTTTCCACTTATAGAATTTGCATAAATTTACTTAAAATGAAAACGGTGCAGAAGAGATACTTTAAGCCACTTCCCTTATGCTTTGTTTTACTTTTAAAAGTAGGCATACCTATCACATTTATCCAATATGCTGAATTTCTGGTAGAAAAGCATATATCTTACTACTCAGAAACTACAGTCCCCTAAGAAGTTGAACAGCAATCTTGATACCTGAAGAATACCAATAAAGTGGAATTTATCATGATTCGACACTTCTCTCCAACTGTTAACCAAAAACCTGATCAAAAACCGCCAATGGATAATTAACAGTAATTCAGTAATTTATAAATACCAAACAGAAGGGGGGGAGTAAAAGCATGTGGGATTGGCAATACCGTCCCAAGCAGCTGTCAGCAGACAAAAAGTAGGTGGCGCATAAGCAAACTTTCAGATACCCAACATCAGGCACAAGAAAATTTAGGCTTTTTGAGTGTACCAAGACCTCGTAACACACGGAATCTGCTATTCAAACATGGCTCACAATAATTACGGTTAAAAGATGTCTCAACGTTGGTATAAATGATGAATGCAATCGTACCCCCACTCAAACTACCAGAGCAAGACTGAAGAGAAAGGTGTAAGAATGGGGGAAGAAGACAAAAGGCAAAATTTAAGAAATATTTAGAGATGGCAGAGAAACGCTGAAGACAATCAAAAATATAACTGTTTTATTCAAATCACTAAATTAATTGCATAGTCTTTGACTGGTGTATGAATCATACCTCTTCATACACACAAAAAATCAAGTTTATATACAGAAGAGATTCAAGGGAAGTGGAAAGCAAAATGAAGATTCTGAATGCAGCCTGCCAAGAAGTACACACAGAAACAGATCCTTACCTAAGGAAATATGATGCTGGGAAAAGATCATAGTTTGAAATCAGGTATACGTTTAGTGTAAAAGTGTACTTCAGACAATGGCCCATACTAGACTAACTGGTGTTTCATCTCACAGACAACTCGGGGTCTAAATCTTCCACTCTCAAAAACTAGGGCTGTCTGGGGATTTATGTGCAAAAATACCAGCTACATACCACCATTGGGAACTTCCAAAAGTTAACTTTTTACGGAAAAAATATCCTTATTACATTTCAAGCACTGAAAAAACACAGTGGGTTCTCACTAGCTGATGCGGGGGTGGGGGAGAGGAGCGGAAAACCCTAAGCGATTTGTTTTAAATTCCAGCCCACAGTTCTTAAGCCATACCAAAAATTTCTTTCCTACTAACAAGAAATGGGTAAGAACAAGTCAGTATGTGATTTGTGACCAACATGAATGGTGTTCAAGCACGTATTAATCAGACAACATAATTGTTTACTTGATAGAAAGCACCCTTTAGAATCCAGTAGATTATCCCAAATGCCATGAAAATAGTGGATGCCACTTCAGTATCATTTGGAATGTTTTAAGAAGCATTTGAAACATGACCTTACATCTTAAAGATCCTTATTTGCCATCTAGATTTAGAAATGGACTAGTCCACTAAAAATGAAAGACCAGCAGCTGGCATGCAACAGGTGTGGTTAGAACTGCAGGAATCATTTCCGCAGAAGACAAAAAGAAAAGATCGATGTGAACAGAACTAGCTTCTTAAATTCTCTGTGATCCCTGAAACAATGAAACTCATAATAAATCAAGTGAAACTAATAGAATTTGAAGACCATGCCATTTGATGATACATCCGTGACTGCAAAATTTCTTGGTATAAAAGGACAAGATCTGATGATCTTAATTTGTATTTTATCATTGCTTAACCACAAAACTTATAAACAGAAGGTCAACTACTCTACTAATGCTAGAATATGAAGGGAATATCGTATTAAGAAGATGGTGCAATCTCTATCTGCCACCAGAAAGAGACATGGATTACACAGCCCAGGTGCCACTTTCTATGGATTCACTCTGCAAAATGTCTGTATACACAAACTTGGCAACCCATCTAGCCCACAGGAGCATTTACTGCTCAAAACCTTCCCCCACCACCCTCAAAACAAAGTAAATAAAAGTGGCCTTCCCTGAAAAAACACTCGAATTTAGGACAGAAATCCTATATGAAGCAAAGAGTCTTGCATGAGGTTACATCTTCACCTGATCTTGACACGCGGCACTAACGTTAAATTCAACTCTGCTTTAAGAGAAGGTTGTTCTGTTTACACTGACTGGAGCAATACCTAGTTTTCTCATATATTAAAGCCTATATTGATTACTGGAGAAGCCAAGAGCCACATAAATATACAGCAGGAAGAAGAATATAAAGCGCAGTTAAATTCACTACTGCCTTGCTAAAAATTGCCTGGGGCAGCAACTTAACTATACAAAGACCTCTTGCAAAGTAGTCAAGTATAATACATAAGTAATCAATCACTTCACTGGCAGAACAGGCAGCAAAAACATTAACACACACTTTGTCTACTTTGATCAACATATGAAAAGCCCAAGTCTGCAAAACGTTTCTAGCTAGGTGATCTTGTATGGTAATCTGAAGTCTCCTGACTTGTTTCAGAGCATCAGGACAATGTATTTGTTGTTATAGAAGAGTTTCTCACCTGCCAGTAACAAACTGTAACAGTAATACTCTCTCTTCCTGAGTTAGTTCTTCCACAACGTCCCAGAACCACTAAACAAAAAATAAGTTAGTTCATATTTTCCATTAAATACTTGCACTACTTGAAAAGTTAAAACAATAAATGGAATATTTGTGTTTGTTTCTTAAATGATGCAAATTTTCACATTAAATTCATACATAAGTCACTGAATATTAGAGTATAAAAAAGCCTCAACGTATTTCAGCCAAAATAAGCTTCCATAAACTCACGGAAAATTACAACAACAACAGTATCTTTTTTTGCATTAAAATGCAATAGTCTATTAAAAAAAAAAAAAAACCACTTTACCTGAATAACTTGGTCTCCTCTCTCATAGCCACTGGTATATTCTGTATTGTTTAACCAATCATTCACATCAATTTCTGGCATACCAGATAGCAAAAGCTCCTTCAGAAGAAGCACACAAATTTTGATTAGTCCTCCCGACAAGCCATTAATTTTAAGGGCTTATGCTATTTTAAAATAAGTAACGCTTTAAATAGTATAAAAATGATGGGGCTTTTTCTGTTTAGTTGCAACCTTGCAGAACCTACGACTAAATTTTAATACAAGAAGATTCTTGAATCCAGGTAACTTCCCATGATCTGTTTAATTTAAGCACACAGTATCAAGAGGTGGAAATCACTGCCAAAGAACCTGAAAGAAAAAAGCTCCGAGTTCTGGCACGGCTTGAGACAAAACCTGTGATGTCTCGGTCACAGAAGATCAAACCACCACAAAACATTCTTGGAATTTCATTCTGCGACTCAGAAAAAGTAAAGACAACAGACAGCATCTCCCTACTTTTCTGTCCTCCTGAAAGAAAATATGAAAAGGTTTAAAGGCCACAACACCCTGATCCCACCTTGAAATTACAATTTAAGGCATTTATCACTGGCACATTAAGTTATCACATTCCAGGAAGATGATCCTTCTAACTAATTAGGATAAACTGGAACACACAATTTGAGATCCTCACTGATAGATGCACAGGAAGCAAAACCGAAGTGAAAGATACAAAATGTTTATTTTGTGGGTATTGAGCTTTCTACATCATTACACTACTGAAAATATGCTGAACGAAGTACTTTTAAAAAGTATAAGCATTACTGCTTACCAGTTCATATTCATCAAAAAGCTGGATCAAAGATGGCGGAATGAACATATGGAAGCCCTGTAAAAAGGCATTTATCTGAGGCTGAATGGCTCTTGTCATTCTAAGCTCCGTGACAAGCTGGACATACTCAGCCTGCAATGTGGAAAACTCCATTAAGACATACAATAGCAAAAATACGTAGTGCTTCGGCAAACACACACACAGAAGTGCATGTAGCCCTAGATACATTACGTATCTCACCTACAGTAAGATGTTCAGAGTCCCTATGCACTTTTCACACATGAAAACAACTCAAAATAATTCAGAAGGTCCTTCAGAGTTCAGAGCCCCTTCCGTCCTTTCTTTCCTCTTTCCTTTCTTCTAAAGATAATTCCCAAACAGAAGCGTGTAAATCGTAACACAGACCAGTCGAAAAACAGGGACTTGGAGTAAGAAAAAGGAAGTGAATAAAACTTAGTTTGCCATGCCTGCATCTAATACAACCACCGTTGTGATCAAAGGAGATAAACAAGGCAATGTCTGTAAAGAAAAGCATTCTATTAAGCAAACTGACATAACTCAGGACAAAGGGTAAATTTCTGAAGGAATATTTGTGAGCCAAAAAGCTTTGCTCTACCTCTGGAGGTTGAACAGAATCTATTACTTACTTCTACAAACTTTGCTGTCTCAATAACAATTTCAATTTTAAAAGAAAGTCTTGAAAACCACCTCAGTTTTTAAAAAGGGGAGGAAAAAAAAATAACCGGAAGAGCATTTATACCTTCACCATGTGAATAGGTATCATGGTTTTCATGCTTTAGAAATCTGGGGACTCTGCTTTAAAAGACACCAGTTAGAAAAGGAATCCACCATAATTTTGCTTTTGTTGAAAACACAAAAGCCTAGGAGGTGGTTTATGGAGAAAGGGTTTTAGAGTGAGACATACAAAAGTGCTTACATTAAAGCTGTATAAACATGTCTCATCTACCCCAACAAAACTATGTAAGCCTAATAAAGTCTCTTTACTCAAGAAAAGAGATATCTACTTGAGTATGAAATTTATTCCTAGAATAGGGTACTCAATTTCAAAGTAATGCTTTGATTTCTTTAATAATGAAATCATGAAACATATCTCCAATTAAAGCATCTCAACTATCACCTTCCTTCCAGACAATAATCTTAAAAATACTATCTTGATTTTTAATTTTAAAAACACATTAACCTGAAGTTTTAGGTTCTGAACCTGCACAAAATCAACCAAGCATTCTTTCCTTCCTCTCTTTCAGAAAAAGAGAATGAATTATGAAATACTTCAAAACAGAAAAATACTTTTCAGAGGCAGTTCCTTATATTCACCCAAAGTGCAGAGGGGTTGTCATTTGCTTTGCAGTTGGTGGATACTTTTAAATGCATTACCACCATTTTATTAGAGTGAGAAGACAATTAATCTGCGAAGTGCTCTGAAGAAGAGGAACTATCTAATCATATCTTCAAGTGCAGAGGTGTTCCCAAAAACCTAGTTTCAATCTAGTAACCTCCCTTGGTTGTCGGTGGTACTGAAGACACCTTCCTTCTCTAAGGAATTAGAGGGGGTAGCCAAAGGAGGTTAACTGCACTAGACAGAAGTCAGCCACTGTGAATACATCTTATGAGCTCTAGGAAGAAATCAGAAACTTTAGCAATATCAGGATTAGAAGTAGTGTACACAACGGTCTTCAGTGATCAGAAATACTTGTTTTACATTTCTTAAGTTGCTGGTACATAAATCAGGCTATACAGAAAACAGGGTAGTAGAAAGAAAAATTCACAATCTTATTTTCTAAAAAATCCATTAGAAAAAAATATTACAAAAACGCAGTTTCTGCGTTACAAAAACATTTACATTGAACACTTTCATTATGAGAGAAAACAGTTTCTGTGCTTTATGTGTAACAAGAAATGTTTTAAATAGCCTGGAACAGCCAAGCATCCCCACTATCAGCACTGGCACATGCTGAAAGACCTGTACCACATTCCCAATTTACATAATATATGCCAATTTAAAAAAAAAGTCAATTTGCTTTTCCCCCTCTGTTCACTTCATTTACGTTTTATTTCCTCTCAGAAGCCCCAGGAGTACATTACAAAACACAAATATCTACATAACTTCAGATCTACATATGCATTCCTACATAGTGCATAAATAGTACAATCCAGCCTTCTTTTAAAGGGGGGATTTGATTGAAAACACATGAGACAGGCATCACAAACATGATGACTAAGTCTAGTTTGAGTGAGGGGTTGTTCTGTATTTTCCTTTGAGGTAAATGAAGCAGACACCATGCTTCCCTGATTTCACAACCCCATATACTGTGAGACAAGGATCAATGTTCATTATGATGTTCAAAGAGCAGCTCCATTCCAAAGTTGCTTGAAAAATATAAGTAATTTTTTTACTGCCTAACAGCGTGGCCAGCTCACAGACAGACAAGTCCTGGGAAGACAGAGAAAGCCATAGATTGTGGAGATTTTTTAAAATAGTATACAGTTAAACTCTGCCTAGGTCTAATTTTTTTTTTTTTTTTTCTAAAAAGTAAGTAGAAATCTGCAAAAATATACACAGCAAAGAAGAAAGAAATGTGTAGCATGGACACCGGACTATGCTTGACTTTTCCCTTTGAAGTCTCCTCATTACCATGACAAAAGGCTGTTGAACCACCACTATAACCAATACTTCAGTTGGAGCTACCTGGATGCTCCAGTGGCAAGAGGAACATTTGCTTCGTATGGGCCCACAACTATTCACCTATTACACAGCTGATGTAAAAAAAACCATAAAATAAAATTCCTTTGTTCAAAGAAAACAATCTTTTACAAACAGCTATAGCTACTGTTCCTCAATGGGGCATTAACTCTCATTTTGGTTAGATCATTTTTAAGGAATAAATATTCGCTTATAATTTCATTTTAAAGAAAATTCTACCCTCTAAACTGGTAATATGGTAGTAAGCATACAGCAAATTCCTTTAGAAGCTGATTTTTTTTTCCTCCTAGAGGTCTAACAAATACAATGAGCTTTAAACAGCAATCTCTTATTCCTTGGATAAAGGCAGAAGAATGAGAGACTTTTCCTGTTTAACCTCTTAGAACTGCTAAGCTGAAAAATACTGCAAAACCATGCTGCATTAAAGAAATTGGAGAAAATCCCCAAATACCACTACAACAAAGATGTACAATTTTCATCAACTTGGTTCGCCACTGTCACAATCAGCAACAGAGAGAACAAACATCTGTAAGATGGCACCATCAACTTCTCATTCTGCAGCTTCAAATTCAAAGGTTTCAAAGCTACCACAACATTCACGTGTTTCTTACCACCTTCTAGATAAAAGCTACACAAACTCTGGTCCCCCGCCTCTCACAGCTGAGGAAGGCCGACGAGCTAGAATGGATGCATCTGCTCTACACATGTTCAACCCCCCTGTTTAGCCTGCACCCCAAGTCAGAAGTTAACAGAACAATATATAAGCTACTAATGACCACGGGTATCCTCATGTGGGCAAACTTCTAATTTCATGCTAACTGAAAACTGTTTTTAAACAGCTGTTATGAAACCACAATATATGTCAAGCATTTTATATGTTGAGAAGCTAAGACTGCCCAGAAACAAGCTTCAACATCACTGCGTTCTCTGATAGGTGATAAAGAAATTAATCATCCACTGCCTTCACAATTAGACTTGTTTTACCATCTGTATTCCTTCATGAATTACTATATTGCAGGAAACAGTGCAGAATCAGGCTAACAATATACATATTCCTCTTACTGGAATGACACTCTGCCTTAATGAAACTGAGGCATACAACAATCCAGTGGCAATTGTTCCAACACAGACTAAAATTTTTGTTAGAACGAATGCTGGCACCACGTGGCCACTTACCGACACAGCAGCTGCCTACGCGCCTGGCAGCACTGAGTAACACTGTGTGCACAGAGTTAGGCTAGCTCAGTGCAAATGAGAGCTAACACACAAAGCAGTCAGAAGGATCAAGAGTCAATAACACAAAATAACCTCAGGTCGACCCACGACACTCCTGCAGTTACTCAAAACTATCTACTGGGTAACTGCGGAATTCAGTTAGACTGATATCCATCCTAATTTCTAGATAATTTTCAAAAGCTGTCTTTGTTTTCCCATATTAGTTTTTGACCTAAGGCTGCAGAGAACTCGGGGACTTTCCAAGCTGTTACTATTAAGGCAAATTAAAAAGGTAGATTATTCCCACACACCCCAAGTGACTTGCAAATGGCTGAAACAGCTTCCTGCAGCCTTTTACTGTCAGTTACCCATATGTTATTGTAGAGCAACCTAGTGCCATAGACTGCCCTAGCAGACAGCACACTTCGCAATATGACCTACAATTTTACTTTTAGTAATTGCTACCAGTCTACCTTCCTGGTATACATATATATATATACATACACACATAACACACACTTCCATGGAAGTGTTCAAGGCCAGGCTGGATGAGGCTTTGAGCAACCTGGTCTAGTGGAAGATGTCCCTGCCCATGGCAGGGGGGTTGGAACTGGATGGTCTTTAAGGTCCCTTCCAACCCAAACCATTCTGTGATTCTATATATACCCATGACAACTTCAGGAATATTTGTAACTTAAATAAACCCTTCATTTAAAATTGATCCTATTTTCCTCCCAAAAGTTCTGTCAGAATCAACCTCCTCAAACCTGAACACCCACAGAGATTTTAAATATTATTTCTATAACATGCTAAGCTAAAAAAGAAGGAAGAGTGTTGGCAACTATTTTATTTGGTATATTTCTACCAAAATAGGTCTACCATTTCTGCTTCCAATTACTCAGAAAGTCAGTCCAATGGCTTTTCTTATACTATCAACTGCTGAATAAACCTGTACACTCACCTTGTTTTCCTGTGTAACAAGTATACTTGCACCCCCCGGCTTCAATGGCACCTCCTCCATTGCCCCAAACACATCAGTCTCCACCGAAAAGGTCAGCTCTAAACCCAGATCACTGATATCATTATCTAAAATCCACTGTAAGTTCTTTGCATACTCTGGATCAATGGATGCTACATCCTGATAATTTACAGGTATACCTAGAAAAAACACACACACAAAGAAAAAATGCAAATAAATAAGAAAAAGCAAAAAGGGTATTGACTTAATATACGGTAGAACATTGCCCTCTAGAGAGAAACCAGAATATTGCAGTTAAATGAAAAGGGAAAAAGATTCACCATTGCTCACTACAGCAGAACTGTACTTACTACATTGTAAAAATATTAAAGAATCAGGTTTCCTCTGTATGATTTCCTTCCCAGAGAAGCAAATGGCATACCACCTGAACAACAACAATTTGCACAATTTTAGCTCACTAATGGATTGCAGTAAAAGCATCTAACCACACAGAACACTCGACGTTAAATGAGTTTCCTAAACAAAAAAAAATATCTTGGTTTTCTACATAAAATTTAAAAAACCCAAATATCTTATTTCTCTATACAAATCATCTTCTCCCCCAGAAAATTATTTAGAACTGGGGGGAAAAAGGGGATGAGAAGACAACCTTCCTTGGTTAGAAAACTTGGAAAACTCAATCTTCAGTTTTCTTTTTAATTGCATTTGCTATGAGGTGAAAGAAATATTTATAGGAATTTTAAATTTTCAAACTGAATTTGCAACTCATTTAAAAGCATTACGAGGAGAGTTGTTAGAAGTTTGACTCTTATCCAAGCACAGAAACTGCCTATTTACAGCCACTTTACAGACATGGCACTCAAAACAAATTTGAGTAAATGTGCCCAGAACAAGGTTTGCGCAGGAAAACTACCCTCTTCGCTACACAAGAAAGCAAACCCAAAAATACTTTAACTCTGTCATGACGGGTACTTGAATTCTACCAAGGTAGATAAATACCTGGGAAAAGGGGCAGGGGGTGAGAGTGGTAGAAGGTTTATAGAAAAGCAATTATCTGGAAGCACTCTCTTTGCTTCACCATCTTCTGTGCACTGAAGTGTCACAAGGGTGCCCATTAGTAGAAGTCTTAGCATGCTATGGACAGCAGAAGCAGTACCCCAGAGAATAACACAAAATTCAAAAGGTTAGCAGCTGGTGTAAACAGGTAGGTGCAGAAACTGTTGCAGGATTTCCCTGGAAGAGCTGACGGGTGCTGAAATGGTGCATACACAAGCTGTAAGGCATTGTTTTTCTAATAAAATGAAGCAATACTCCTGTTTAAGAGAGGGATAGATAACTTACTAATGAATTTTCACTGTCATGTCTCGCAAAAAAAAAAAAAAAACCAAAATCTAACAGCTGTCGAGTAGTTTCTAGAGAACTTTCACTTTTGCCAGCTAGTAAGCATATGTGCATTGCACATATGAAATGTGGAAATAATGATGTCTCTGAGGGATATAAGCAAAACATGTGGGAAAAGCAGCAGACTGAGAAGTAGGAGTCTGAGCCTCCCGTAGAGAAGAAACTGAACTATAGCATTATTAGGAGACTACATTCATAGTCAGCATATTGTGAGAGCAAACCACTCAGCTCACTCATTCGCTTGACAGATATTTTACCAATCGATAGGCTCAAGCCAGGCAGCTATAAAAGAAACTCCGTCAGATTTATCAGGGCAGAATTTGAATCCCGTGAAATACTATGTGTCTCTCTTTTGCTATACCCTTAAGGCACCTGCAGTTTGAAAAGGAAGAGAAATCTATGAAGGTATTTCTGCGCAACACAACTTCAAGATGATACCACAGGTAAGCTCTGAGACAAGATCAGTAAGCATTCAAGGATTTAAGGCCTCCAGCTCAATATACACTGACCCAGAAATTAATTTTTGGTTTTTTGTTTATGCCATTTCAAGGAGTATTTTCTATTATACTGTGAAAGAGGGGACTGAAGTCTAACAGCAGATAGCACAATTAGGAAGTTATCTGCTACATGTCTTTGTGCTTTGGAGGTGGAAGTTTCCTTTTCCAAACAAGTAATTGTCTCCTTTCAACAGATACAAAGTAACTGGACAACCACACTAGTGAAACTATCTTCTCCTCCCCTGTTCAAGGCAGCAGACAGGCAGTTTAAGAAAAACAAACCTACAAGGCCTTATTAATTTCTGACCATATTTCTGTCTCAGTTCTACATCCATAAAATCACAGAATGGTTTGGGTTGGAAGGGACCTTAAAGATCATCTAGTTCCAACCCCTCTGCCATGGGCAGGGACACCTTCCACTAGAAGGTGTCCATAATAGAGTGCAGCCCTCAAACATAAGGAACTATGGAATAATGTTTGATTTCACAGCACAAAAAGAAATCATGCAACCTACCTATCTAACATTATAAAGCATCTTAGTTGTATGTCAGCTGGGTCATCACTTAATTTGGTGATCTTTCCTTGTCTACCAGATATTGTTGCAGAAAGATCGCAATTCATCACAGTGAAAAAAGGTGATGCACCCACCTGAGTCTCAAAAAAGTAGCCACATTTGCTCATACAGGTTTCAGCTTCCATTTAAGGCACTTCCACGTCATGTCTGTTGGCTAAAGAGAAGAGTTCCTTTGAAAGAGATTCACACTGTCCCTCAGATACAGGAGATCGTACTGCACAACTGGCGGATTCAGTGCCAGAAACAAAGCAATGGCAGAATCCAGAAAACAAGGATCTCAGTGTAGGGTGAGAAACCAAAGTAGTGGAAATAGCCTCAGGCTTCAAAAGATTTCATCCTCCATTACATAAGGCCTGACAAGTAGCTGAAGGGAATCTCTATGTCTGTAACCTGGTAACTTGTATTTGGCATGAACAACAGTTGGCATAACCCACAGCTGAACCTGAAACAAAAATTAAACAAAAGCCCCTCAGGAAATCTGCTGCTGTGCAACTCAGGTTCCTTAAGCAAGAGAAGAGATGCACAAAGCTGAGGGAAAAGGCCTTGGAAAGGTTATTTAAACCACTGTGACTGAGGCAGAAAAAGCAACTACTTTGGGAAGTGGAAGTGTAATTTTTCCAGTTCTCTGTGTCTGATAAGTAACAAGAAGTGACAAAACCTGCAAACCTTTTGAACTTGAAGAAGCTGAATGTGCACAAACCTCTAGAGTGGTCCAGGATGCCTGTTCAACAGAATGACAAGACGTTTCTAATAGGGACTGGTGAGATCTTTTTAACAGACACTACTCACTGCCGTTTGGTTTGCAATAGTTACTCTAGCAAAAGGGAAAAGAGAAAAAAGAGTAAGCAACAGGTCACCTTGTCAATTCAGAAACCAACAAATCCAGTGTATAATTACGATTCAAAGTAGAAATGAACCCAAAATAATAATTTCCAAAAAAAGTGACAAGAGCAATACTTGACTATACTCAAGGTATCACTAAACAGCAGAATAATATGTTTTTCTCAATTGTGAATATATCACATGAAGATTAGCCTATGAGCATCTTTCTTCTGCTCACACAGAGGAATCTCTATATTGGAGGCCAAGCCTTAAGTCAGTGCCAAATAGTGCCACACAATGATATGTCTACTTTGGAACCGCTTTCCTATGTGGAGATCAGTGACGAAGGAAGCCCGATGAGGGACTGACAACATGGTGCTGCTTCAGCTTGGCTGTCCTCCCTTGCCTCTTGCCCAGTACACAGCCAGTCACTCTCCTGCAGCAGAAAGCAGGAGTGAGGGTGAGAAGTAAAATGCAACCTTTTGTCAAGATGATCTTGACAAAGATGACTGAGCCTGCACCACCACCAAACTGCAACAGTGTTCCTGAACACTTCATTAAACCTGAAGTTAAGAGTTGATCTGTCCTGGACTCAGCAAACCTCACAGGAAAACTGTAGGTAGACAGAATGACTACAGAAAAACAGAATGAGATGCAATCAATCCCATGAAAACCCTGCTAGGTCCTAAAGTAAGGAGTGGATCTTGTAGAAAAGTAAAATTTCTGACATCAAGCTATCTTATACTTCCAAAGAAGATTAAAGAGTAGCACTTACACACCAAGAAAATTCTTCATGCAGAGGCAATAGAATTTATGTTCTTAGAGGAGTAACAGGAATGCAAAAGGAATTTACCCTTCCATCACATCTTCATGCAAGAGGAAAGGTTTTTCACGACAATGCAAAACAGGAGCATCATGTTCAACAATCAAGAGGCGCAAAGGTTCTCAAGAGTCCTAGACCACAGACACCACCAGCTAACAGCGTTCCTTCTCTATTAAAAGGATTTACATTTTTTATAGACCTCTGTCCCATCCTCTTGAACGCTACAATAAGCGTATGTACTAACTTTCCTCAGGAAGGAGACAGGATGAACCTGCATTAGTTCTGAAACACTACTTCAGGAAGTAAGTAGAATTTGTCGGAGTGGGTAGACAGGGAGGTTCGCAACAGTATGGATTCACCTTGCTAAAATACTACACGACTGAAAGATCCAGGCATAATAAAGGCGGCCTGACAATGTTTGTGAACTCTGGCAAAAACCTAAGTTAACTAGGGAATGATTATTTTCATTTCTCAAGAGTGACATTACATGGTGGGATAGATGAGTTTCACAACTGTGATGCAAAGAATTGCACACACCGCAAAAGCATCTGACTGCGCTAGCGTGCCTTTCAGGCACTAGTCAGCAACATTCAAGACAATTAAATTATGAGATTATGCTTTAGACAAATTAATGATGCCTTCCAAGTTTTTAATTTAGGATTCGTATTCAAATATAAATTGAAAGATTAGCTATTTTAATGAAAGTTGCTAACTATGTAAAATTCTCACATAGTTTTGCTAATGTATTTCTCTGTTTTGCAGCTGTAACAGTTCCTAAGAGAGGCTCACACTGGAATAGCAACTCCTACCATATGCTGTGACTGATATACAAGAATTTTAGCAAGACATTAATTTCCAAGACATTTTCACTTTTAACGCAAAAGTAAAGAAGGAAAAGGTTTACTCCTCAGACAACTGTTATGACTAATAAACAAGATTTTAATAAAACCATACCAAGAATATGTTTGTAGAATGATCTTGTGAAGTAAATGTTCACCAGCTGCCTGTGATTCAGGGCTAGCCCCAGGATCTGGCCTGCGAAACGGAAGTAGTTCAAATGATCTGGATTTACGGAAGAGTTGCTGTTGGGCTGGAAAGTTGTTCCTATAAAATAAAAATACCATCATGTTTCATGACTTTTTTTTTTTTTACATGAAGTTCATACTTATCAAATACACTAAGTATCTGAAACCACAGAAAGTTTTATTTTGGGGTTTTTTGTTTACACCAAAAAGACATCATAAGGAAATGTATTAGAACGTAATGCCATCCTATTATTACACTGATACTGCGTACCCACTCTCTAAGGCACCGCTCTGAAATAATTATCATCAACGTAAGGGCAATCATGATCTGCTAGATTTAGTCCTCCATCTTGCTATGCTGCTACGTGCATTTTTTGCTCACTCTAATGGGCCATGCTTCTACCAACTTGTGAACATACTCAACAGAAGGATCAGAATGCATCCACTTCCTTTCCTCTGGCTCCAGCAATATACAGACAGGAGACAGTCCAGTCCTGGTTCCCTTGAAAAAGACCACCTCAAACAGACATCCCTGAGCTTCTCCCTTTAACATTCAGGAACTAATCTATGCCTCTACTGTTGACGGAATTCCTTGCCAGTTCAAGACTTCATAAGATAGAAAGCAAAACATTCTCACTGATGATGTGAAATCTTTTATTGATAAATATTTGCTTTATATAAGGCACCCAAATGAGAAAAGTCAAATAAAAGGCAGACCTGTGAAGATCAACCTGGTTTTACCACAAAAATTAACTGATTGAATTTGTAGATTTCCAAAAGCAAATAAAGGAATACCTCCACAGTTCCCTTGCAGATGACGAAGAAAGGAAAACACTTTCTATACTGCTCTCAAAGTGTTATGTCCTACTACTTCCAGGCAGAAATAGCATGGACTCATTAAAACAAACAAGTCACTCTCCTCTTACAAAAGAGAGTAAAAAAAACATCAAGGAAACTTCAAATTAAGGAAAATGTTTAAACTGCAGTTATAAAAATGTACAACAAATATATCACTTCTCTCTCTCTCTCTCTAAATATATATATGAGATCAATTCTGTCAGTGTTGCTTTTAAAAAGTAACAATCTTGTATTCTGAAACCAATTAAGTGACATTTTCTTGGACTATAAAGATGCTTTTATAAAAGAAGTCACCCTAAAATTAGAAAATAAAAAAGGCAGAGACATACCATCAGCTGACTGGGTAAATAAGGCGTAATCGGGATTTACTATTTCACTGGATAAGATATCAAACCACTCACGCACCACACCCTGCCCCTGCATATCAAAAGAATAAAACACATTGGTTCATAGAACTTTCACTGCACAGTTACGCGGGGTAACCACATATTTCTTAATAAAGTATAAAAGCTATTTTAAATTAGAATTTAGTTTAACACAATACTGGTGGAAGAGAATTAATATATCCATATAAAAAAACTATAAAGGAAAAGGATGCAATTTTACCCACCATGCCTTCTTCTCCATGAAATCTCACAGCAATTCCCTGCTTTAGTTTTGCACAATTTGCTCTAGACACAACTTCACAGCTACTCCTGAAAATAGAATCTAAAAACAAAGCACCAGTTAATTTTTTATCTTAAGTCATTACACTTCAATGTATTTCAAGATACACTAGTTCCATTTATAACACAATACCTCGGTGAACCAAAAGGATGTCGTTTTCATTGACAGGCCTGTGCACCATATCCGAATCTGGCTGCCCGGCATGCAGATGTTCATAGAACCATTCACAGCGATCTTTAAAGGGCTACAAAACAAGGGGTACACCACACTATATAGCTGCATTCAACTGAATAATTCCTCTCTCATAAGCATGACTGGAAAATGGCTATGCGTACTTCTCAATTTGTTTTTGAGATACGCAGAGAGTGACTCGGTGCTACCTCAGTACGCTATAAAGTATTTCGGGAAGTGTAAGGACTATGCATGCCCTTCAGTGCTTGAAGAAATCTGGTATGCAGAAAGACTGCACCACAAGTTATCCAGAAATAGTTATTGGAGTCCACCTCACAAGAGTAAAATTGCACAAAATTTCCAAGGCAAGGAGGGAAGGAATCCTAAATAAGCAGTCGATCACTGGCTTCTCTAACACAGCTGATCACACATGCACAAGTGATATAAACAAGTTAGATTTGTAGTAAAATTGATAAGCAATAAAAAACAGCCCAAAGGAACCAGAAACCTTCCAAAGACATTCCTAGGTGAGAAGGTCTTAAGCTTGTTTGACTCTGTATTTAGACTGACATTTTGCAGTACTTCTGAGACAGGTATGATGCAAGTATGGCCTCTCTCATCTATTACAGTTCATGGCACATAGAATCACAGAATGGTTT